ATCATTGGTTTCCAGCAATTCAATCATTATATACTGAGGTGCTATTTTTATTTTGTCTGTATCTGAATGGGATTTATATCTGTAAATTGATGTCTTTCACCAAATTTAGGACATTTTCAGTCTTCTTTCTCTGAGATAATGATCCTGCTCCACTGGTCTTCTCTCCTTTGGGGACTAAAATCACAGATCTGTTAGACTTTGATATTGTCCTGCAGGTGCTTGAGGCTCTCTTAGTGTGTTCAGATTTTTTTCCCTCTGTTCTTCAGATTAAATAATTCCCAGTGATGTCTCCTCACATTCAGTGACTTTCCTTTCCTCTTCAGTCTATTGTTAAATGAATTCAGTGAATTGTTTCAGGCGCTTTTTAAATTCTAGATTATCTACTTTACTCTTTTTGTTTTTATTATTTTATTTCAGATTAATGAGAAGGTGTAAACAATTAGGTTACAATGTTTTTTTGTTTTGTTTTGTTTTGGAGACATCCTCTCTTTGTCACTTTTGTTAGAGTGCCATGGCCTCATAGCTCATAGCAATCTCCAACTCCTGGGCTTAAGCAATTCTCTGGCCTCAGCTTCCCGAGTAGCTGGGACTACAGGTGCACACTACTAATCTCAGCTAGTTTTTCTTTTTTTTTTGAGACAGAGCCTCAAGCTGTCCCCCTGGGCAGAGTACCGTGGCATTACAGCTCACAGCAACCTCCAACTCCTGGGCTCAAGCGAGTCTCCTGCCTCTGCCTCCCAAGTAGCTGGGACCACAGGCGCCCGCCACAACGCCCGGCTATTTTTTGGTTGCAGCCATCATTGTTGTTTGGCGGGCCCGGGCTGGGGATTCGAACCCGCCACCTTAGGTGTACGTGGCTGGCGCCTTAGCCTGTTGAGCTATAGGCGCCGAGCCAACACCAGGCTATTTTTAGAGACGAGGGTCAAGTCTCACTCTTGCTCAGGCTGGTCTTGAACTCCTGAGCTCAAGCAATCCACCCACCTCGGCCTCTCAGTGCTAGGTTTATAGGTGTGAGCCCCCTCACCTGGCTGGGTTACAATATTTGCATTTGTTAGGAAGAGTCCCTATTGTAGTTGTGTCCCACACCCAGGAGGTGTGCCATACACCCCTAGTGGTGCCCACTAACCTTAAGTGGGAGCACACCCATTCCCTTCTCTCCTCTCCCTCTTTTTCTTTCCCTCTCCTCCCAACTTGAATTGAGTTTTTCTCTTGTGTAGGCATGTCTTAGATCATCTACTGGCTTCCTATTAGAATTGAGTGCATTGGATTCTTGATTCTCTTTTTTTTTTTAAGACAGAGTTTCACTATGTTGCCCTCTGTAGAGTGCTGTGATGTCACAGCTCACAGCAACCTCCAACTCTTGGGCTTAAGTGATTCTCTTGCCTCAGCTTCCCAAGTAGCTGGGACTATAGGCATCCATCACAACGCCTGGCTATTTTTTTCTTGTCATTGCTGTTTAGCAGGCCCAGCCAGGTTCAAACCTTCCAGCCCTGGTGTACATGGCCGGCACCCTACCTACTGAGACATGGGTGCCGAGCCTGCTTCTCCATTCTTGTGATGTTTTACTAAGAAGAATGTGTTTCAGCTGAGTGCCTGTAGCTCAGTGGCTAGGGCACTAGCCACATACACTGAGGCGGATGGGTTTGAACCTGGCCCAGGCCTGCCAAACAACAATGACAACTGCAACCAAAAAATAGCTGGGTGTTGTGGGGGCGCCTGTAGTCCCAGCTACTTGGGAGGCTGAGGTAAGAGAATCACTTGAGCCCAAGAGTTTGAGGTTGCTGTGAGCTCTGACGCCATAGCACTCTACTGAGGGCAACATAGTGAGACTCTATCTCAAAAAAAAAGAAGAAGAATGTGTTTCAACTCCATTCAGATTAATAAAAAAGATGTAAAGTCCCCTTAGTTTTTATGGCTGAATAGTACTCCATGGTATACACATACCATGGCTTGTTAACCCATTCCTGGGTTGGTGGGCACACTTGGCCTTTTTAAAACAGAGTTCCTTTCCTTGCTGTGATTTCCAGTGTTTTCATCTGTTAAGAATGTACTTATTCTTTGTACCCTCAATGAATCCCAAACAATAAAAAAAAAAAAAAAAGTACTTTAAGTCTTCGAGGATAGTTGTAATAGCTACTTAAAAACCTTGTCTGCAAATTCTAGCAAATTTGGGTCACCTTGGGTTTTCTTAAGATTGAATCATGTTTCCTGGGTTTTTCTTTTCTTTTTCTTTGTGGTTATTTGTTATATTGAGCTATTTTACATTGCATCGTGGATTCTGCAGGCACTCTGAGTTCTGTTTTGTTCCCTGGAGAGTACTCCTTTTTTTCAGTAGGTAGTTAACTTAATAAACCCAAATTTTGAACTGTCTCCCCAGCATTGGGCAGCAATGGAAATCTCTTGTGTTTCTTTTGGCTGTCGCTTGCTTGCGTGAAGTCTGGCTTGCGGCCCCTCGGTAACTGGTAACTTAGGGAGTATTTATGCACATGGCCTGGGCCCCCCTGGCTTTGATTTCTCTGTCCCTTTCACTTTTGGCTGTTGCGCTGCCTTCATCTCCATCCTGCTTCTTCAGTTTGGTTACACCATGTGAGTTTTAGCTACCAACAAGGTGTAGGCCTGAGCCCGCCCTTAGGCTAAAAATGACCAAATGGTGGAACTTATCAAAATACTAAGTTTTCTTTTTCTAAGGATTGATCTCACTCCAGGATGTCCTGCTTTCGGTTACTTTGGTGACTTGAGTTTATTTTTTTCTTTGAATATTTTGTCCAGAGTTTATAGTTGTATCTAGCAAAGAGCTGCGTCAGTAGGAACTACCTAACCAATGTTGGAGGCAGAACTTTCTAGAAACACTGCCTCAGAATGGAAAACAAAACAAAACAAAATACAAGCTTTGGAGTCAGATGCAACCTGGATCCAGAATCTAACTCTTCCTGTTACAGTCTGAGCCTTCTGAGACTCATCTGTGTAGCAGGAAGCCAAGCCTACCTTCTCCATAGACGGTGTTGAAGTTAGTCACGGAGCAGCACAGAGCCGGTCACCCGAGACGTCCTCCCTGCTTGTTGGCCCCTGCTGACTCTGAGAAGAGCTGCAGTCTGGACATAAACCGTGTGGCAAGCAGTGCTTTCCATTTTACAAATGAGGACATTGGGGTGCCCAGATATTAGGAGGGGCAATAGGAGTGGATACGTTTTTAAGAAGAAAATATACCTTACTATTTTTCCTTTGTACTTTTTTTTTGCAGTTTTTGGCCAAGGCTGGGTTTGAACCTGCCACCTCCAGCATATGGGGCTGACGCCCTACTCCTTTGAGCCACAGGCACCGCCCGCTTTGTACTTTTTTAATTGGTTGCTATAAGTGTGTGTGTGTGTGTGTGTGTCCTGGGTGGGGTGTAGGTAGCTAGTTTTATTTCCATATTGAGGGTGGGCTGCTTCTTACCACTGAAGAATGCGTAACACAGGGAGGGAAACCCTTCTGGTACTCTTGCTTGGTAGATAGAATAACAGCCCCCAATGAGGTCCACCCCCTATTTCCTAGAACCTGTGAATATGTTGCCTTACATATCAGAAGGGAATTTGCAGATGGGATTAAGGCTGTGGACCTTGAGATGGAGAGATTATCTTGAATCTTCTGGATGAGCCCAGTGTAATCATATGGATCTTTAAAAGTGGAAGTGTTGACTGGGTATAAGATCACTCAATGCCTGTCATCTTAGCCGAGGTGGAAGGATCCCTTGAACTCAGCAGTTTGAGATCAGCCTGATCTCTACTAAACATGGAAAAATTGGCTAGATGTCATGGTGGGACATGGTGGGTCGCAGCTACTCGAGAGGCTGAGGCAGGAGGATTGCTTGAACACAGGAGCTTGAGGTTGCTCTGGACTAGGCTAACACCACGGCCGGCGCTATAGCTTGGGTGACAGAATGAGACTCTGTCGCAAAAAAAAAAGAAAACTAGGAGAGGAAGGCAGAGAGTTAGAGAAAGAGATGTGACAACAGCAGCAGAGGCAGAAGGATGCTCCGTTGCTGGATATTAAGATGGAAGAAGGAGCTGTGCATGAGGCAAGCCGTATGAACAGCCCTGTCGAGAAGCTAGAGAAGGGAGGAAATGCAAACTCTCGCAGCGCCTCCAGAAGGGACGCAGCCTCACCAGTGTTTCACCTGCCTACTGAGGCCTATTTCAGACTTCTGACCTCCAGAACTGTAAGATAATTAGTGTGTGTTGTTTTTAAATCACTAAGTTTGTGAAAATTGGTTTTGGCATTAATAGTTACTACTGATGGAAGTTGGTGAGGTCAGAGCTTTTAGCAGGTGAATAACAGATGTTCCGTGAAGGACAGTTACTGTGATCCTTGAGTGGACTGGGGTATGTCGGGTCTCAAGCCCTAGATACCGTGGATCAATGTGCTTTTCAGAGACCTTTGGGACAATAAGTACACTGCTTTGGGGGGCAGAGGTAACACCTGACAGCTGTAAGGGCACTTGTAGGTGCTCAGCAACTGCTGCATGAGTAATAAAGAAACAGGCCCCGGGCCAGGCCCCAAGACGCTCACAGTGAGTGCAGGACGAGGCCTGGAGCCATGCCAGGGTTTTGTGGTTGTCTTTAAAAAGAAACAAAACAAAGAACTACTTCCTACCAGCTGACCCTAAATCTCTGAGTTCCCTGCCCTCCCAACCCTGCAGGGGAGCACAGGCTAGGTGCCAGGCCTGGCCTCGCTGTCAGCTTCTAGGTCAGTTACTTAGTTGCTCTCCTCTCTGCCTTCACTCTGCCCTTCCCTCCCGTCCCCTGTCTGAGAGGCCCTTGGTGCCTCTGGGAGGCGGCACTCACCTGGAGGTCTGGCTGGACGCCTGCCTCTCCTGTGTGTGGGTTACCAGAGTTATGGGGAATTGTTTTTAGTGTCTTGCTCTCTAAGTTGGCGTCGAATATATGGAGGGAGGAATGACTGACTACCCCCTCTGGGTCTGTGATTGTGTTAAGACTATTTTCTTCTTCATTCCAGGCCTGATCAGAAGGCGATTAACACAATGCATCTCGTGATGGCTGTGCCTGTCAGTTACGTGGAGCTTTGCCCAGGGATTTCCTGAGCCTGCTGGATTTACAGGGATATTTGGCCATCTGAGGATTAATGCTGGTGGAAGCATGCACTGGAATTACACACACCCGGCACATTTCAGGATGCTAAAAGTAGTTTTGAGGAAGGCCCTGGCTGAGTGCCTTGTGGATTCTCTCAGCCCTCATAGCCCATGGAGGACGGAGGTCAGCAGCTGCCTGCGAGGGCTCAGCTCTCTCACCGGTTGGGTCTTTCTCTGCCGTCACCCTTTGGGACATCCTATGGAATGTGAGTCCTCTGTCTCCTGCTTGTTAAGCATCTCATGCAAGTTCTGTCCAGTGTTCTGCTGGGCTTTCAGGAAGGCTGTCCTGGCTGGTGGTTTGCTGTGATGTGGCTGGTTGTCAAAAGGAACTGGTATTTAGTGACACTCCCCCACCCCCACACATCTGGCATGGTGCTGGTGCATGGGGGGACAGATGGAAACGGATTGGTACTTCCTGGGAGCTGCCACTGTTATTGTGCTGACTTGTGTCATCGCACCTCTTCGGGAATTTCCTGGTTCGTGTGTCTGACCCCATCTACTTGACTGTAAGTGCCAGGAGGGCCTAGGGCTCTGCAATGTGGCTCTGTGTCTCTAAGACCTTGTGTGGTCCCTGGAGTGCCGTCTCTTATGCACAGAAAGGATGAATTAAGGCAGGGTGGTTAATGAATTAAGACGTTGGGGCACAGTAGGGAAGGTATGCATGGGGGGATAATTTCTTGGCTCTGGGATAATTTCTTGGCTCTGTGCTTTAACTGGGAGCCATATTACACCATATGGTTGGGGCTGTGAGGCTTGTATGCCAGCAGGTACCCATAGAGCCAGACAGGCCTGGATTTGAATCTTTAACATGCAAACACTATGAAGTGAAGAGACGCACTCCTGCGTCTTTGATGCTGAAGATCAACACGCAGACATTGGGGTGCTGAACACACAGCAAGCGCTCAGCACCTGGGGCAGCTTCTGTGGACAGGGGCATTTCTCAGCCTTTGACTGTCTGTGCAGAGCCTTGTAGGCAGTGCCGGACTTTAACCTGGGCACTGCCTTTTGGCATGGACAGTTGATTAACGGTCACAGTCCCTAGAAACTGTGGGAAGCCCGAGGGTCAAGCAGTGGCAGGTGAGGGGAAGGAGGCTCCTGCCACCTGGAGGGAGGGAGGGAGCAGCCAGTTGGCCACAGAGGCCTGGTCTGGTTCTGCAGCTGATGGAAAGAAGGACTGGCCTCTTGAGTCCAGACGTGGTGGCTTGGGAGGCTGCTACCTCCAAGGCTTCTCTGCCTCAGTGCTCCATCAGCAAGTGGCCTGGGGCCCACCTGGCATTTGGCTGCCAAGACAGTGCTTGGGGCAGGGCTTTGGGTCCGATTTCTATTAGGTTGCTGATTCTGCTCATGACTGGTGGTGCTTCCTCACACAGGCTTTCCTGACCTAATGCACAGAATGTCCCTCTGGTGTCATACACTGTTCTCATCCACAGAAGTACTATAAGTTTATATTCACCTCTGCATGTTACTTGATGTCACATCTTCTCCCCCATAGAAAGCAATCCTTTGAGTTCAAGAAATACATTTGTCTTGCCCACAGGCTGGCCACCGAGTAGGCACTTTATTCATTGCATCTTAGTTGCCCCGATCAAATGGTGACTCTTAGTGGCTTAGTGTCAGCGTCCTGGAAAAGAACAGACAAAAGGGAAGTATGCTTCAAAGCGACACTCACTGTCTTCGGGGGTCTGTGTAACAGCCCAGGATTCCCACTAGCTGGGCAATGGTGTGTTGAGAACCTTGAGGCTCTGAGGGGTCACATAACTTGTTCAAGGTCATTTATTCAGGAGAAGGTAGACTAGGAAGTAGAAAACCACTTGGCATTTTATACTGAACCAAGCTGCCTCAGCTGAAGAAGAGACTTCTTGAGGTCCACAGAAGTGAGGCTGGGCTGCCGCAGCCCCATGAAGGGCCAGGAGGGGAGTCATTTCAGGGAGGGCTGCTGCAGACCTGTCAGACCTGTAGGAGCTGTAACGCTCCTCTGGGCAGCTCAGCACTGGGGGCACTCAGGGCTGGGCCTGCAGGGGCAGCAGTTCTGCCCTGCGGCTGGAGGGGCTCCGTGGGGCAGCAGAGGCCCTGCGCTGCCCCTCACTTGCGCCTTCCCTGGTCTCTCCTACGTACTTCTTGCCAACTGTCCCCCTGGCAGGGTGGCAACCTTGCTTCACTTATCACATGCCCCACAGCTGTTTTTACTCCTTTTTATCAGCTACTCCCTAGAACAGTGGTTCTCAACCTTCCTAATGCCGCAGTGTATTTTCATTGTTACAAAGGGGTCACGACCCACAGGCTGAGAACCCCATTGTGGTGGTCCAGGTTATCTCCTCACAGGACGACCAGGGTGGGCTCTGCACCGCATGATACAGAACAGTTATGGGGAGAAATAAGACTCGCCTGACTGTTGGTGAGGAGGGAGCCCCCTTGGGCAGCAGTGTAGTAACTGTCACTGTTTATTAAGCTATGCTGTGTGCAGGGTGCATGGCGAACAATGTGTCATTCAGACCTTAGGACAGAGCTATGGGGTAGGGAGGGTTGTTACCTGTTTTGTCTTTCAAGTTACTGAGCACAGAGAAGGAAAGCAAGAATCCCTGGGGAACACAGGCAGGAAGTGAGCATAGTTTGGTCTGACTCCAAAACCACTCGGCAGTGCTGCCTGGAGCTGGAGACGCAACTGCTCCCTTGTCGGCGCTGGCGACTTTGGGTCCTCGGGCAAATCACCTCTCTTCTCTGGGCCTTAGTGTATGCATTCATAGGGAGACTCTTTAATTTTCCCTGTAAGTTGGGACGCTTAGGAGTGAAAAGGAGCCCTGGGACACTTACTCTGGGATGACAGATGTAAATCAGGTTGTATCTGTGCTCACCAGGACCAGAGGTCTCCAGATTCATGAGTCAGATATTGGGTGCTGCCGTGCTGGTCCCTCAGGTGCTCTGCTGCAGGTGCTGGTGCTACTTCCCGGGTCCCAGGCGAGGCCTTCATTTCCCCTGTGGATTTTCACTAACAGTTTGCATTTCTGGCTGTAGCACAGGAGCTTGCTGGCCTGATTTCCCCTCACTGTCAGCAGCTTAGAAGGATTTCCTATTGTCCTTGACTATTGCCAGAGCAGGCCTGATCTGTGTGCGTTTTCACTTGCTACCCCTGTGGTGATTGACAGCACATGCTCCGGTCCAGGGCCGCACCTCCTACTCACACAGACAACACAGCCAGGTTACTGGACATGGCCTGGTGCCCAGGACCTGTTTCCACCTGTTCCCACCTGTTCCCACATGGTGCCCAGACACCCTGGGGTCTGCACACCTTGCAGTGAGGGAAGGCTATCACTCCCCATTCTACAGGGCTTCTCAGTGAGCAGCCTGGGGTTGCTTGAGAGCTGGTGTTTTTGAATGTTTGGAATGTGCCTCCAATACCCTTCCAATCTGGCTGGGGATTGTGAACCCCTGAGGTTCAGTGAAAGCCAGACACTGCTACAGTGATCTCTGGAGAGGGCACAGAAACTGGTCTTTGTGCTCTAAGCTGTCAGCCCCAACACCGCTACTCCCGCACTGCCAATATTTCTCAAAGTGTGCTGATGAGGGATGCACGATGATTTTAGGGTATGGATGTGCACAATTTTTAAAAAGTTGTTTTATCTTTACTTTAATCTTTATTGGAAAAAGACCATACTTGGCACATGAGAACTGTGATTTTATAAATAGTTACTGATTAGGATGTTGATATTTAAGAAAAAGTGAACTTTATGAGAATACTAAGTTAAAGACAGATGAACCTAGCCCTTCTGAAGAGGACTAGACTTGGAGCACAGGTCCTATTTTGATTTGCAGTGCTCTGACTGTGCAACTCTGGCCATGTCACTGGAAGTGGTGGCTCTGGGTCCTGTTTGGCATCAGCTCATGGGGATCCTACCTAAATCTGGAAAATTCATGATGAAGTGACTGCATGGGCTTTGGTGTCAAGTTTGATTGCAAACAATAGGCTGACCGCAGTGGCTCACACCTATAATCTAGCACTCTGGGAGGCCGAGGCAGGTGGACCGCTGGAGCTCAGGAGCCAGAACAAGAGTAAGAACTCTGGCTGTACTAAAAATAGAAAAACACTCTGGGCACTGTGGCAGGTGCATAGTCTCTGCTACTCAGGAGGCTGAGGCAAGAGGATCACCAGAGCCTAGGAGTTCGAGGTTGCTTTGAACTATGATGCCATGGCACTCTACCCAGGGTAGAGCCCTTTTAAACAGAGTAAGACTGTTTAAAAACAAAAAGGAAGGAAGGAAGGAGAACGAAAAGAAAGAACAGAAAGCAAATAGTGAGAGCCAGGACAGCAGCACCTTACAGTCCCAAAATTCTGCTTAAATTCATCGTGCCTACTGATCTCAGGCCCGCCAACTCCATTACATTTATTGAGTGCCTAAAAGTTTCTATTCAACCCCTACATTACTGTCTGAGATTGTATTATGAAATAGTAAATGTTTACCCTATATAGTAATCGATGACTTATTCATTTTTCTCATTTATTTCTCTTGAATGAATGAAGGATAGTATTACTTACTTCATGAGTTTATTGTGAAAATTAAATAAGAGAACATATTAAAGGGCTTAATTCAGTGTCTGGTATATAATATACACTGAAAGAATATTAGCTGCTTTGAAATAAAATGTTAAAGTGGAATTAGAAAATCAAAACACACAGGCAAAAAGATATAAAAATATTAAAGAGAGTGAGTTGCTAACATTTAACATTAAATTTAGTGCTGAACTTCCCAGTTAGTACAACATGCTAAGTAGGTTACATTTCTATCTAAATGAAGGATTGGCAAACTTCTTATGTCAAGTGCTTGATAGTAAATATTTTCAGCTTTGTGGGCCACACTGCTCTGTAATGCTAGTCAGTTCTGCCTTTGTGTCTGGAAAGTGGCCATAGGCAATATGCAAATGAGTGGGTGTGGCTGTGTGCCAATAAAACTTTATTTATAACAACTGGCAATGAGCCTATAAACTGCAGTTTGTCCCTGGACTAAATGAAGGAAACCTGTTTGTCTTTGGAAGGCAGAAACTTCTCCTGGATCATTAACACTGAAAAGAAATTTGTTACAAGATGTAATACTTTTTATGAAACTTGTTAAACAGCATATGGAAACTTGTTGAACATTGGTGTTTTACAGAAAATCTAGAAGAAAGTCTTCACACAACTAGTTCTGTTGCTGTTCATTTAGCAGGCATTTATTGAGTGTTTACTATGTCGTAGGCTCTGATATTAACCACTAATAAAACCTAAAGAGATGTGCATTTTGGCAGGGGGTGCTGCCTTGGCAAGAGGTGATCTTGGTGACAATTTAGGGAGGTCAATTTAGAGTGTTTTCAGCACTGGGGACATTGTCTAGTGTCTGAATTACACAGAGGCATCAATGCTAATTTGAATGGACTTTTGGTCTGGCAACCCTGGCCTCCAGGGACAGCCAGTCTCATAGAGTGGCTGTGTCATATGAGATCCTTGCTCTTTTTGACAGTTACAATTGTTGAAAGA